AGAGTCGCTGTGATAATGTATAGAAGAGGCCTGGCCATGGTAAGCGCCCATACGTGTTAGCCACTGTTATTAATATTAATTTTTTCACCCCCTCCTTACTCTTGTTACCTCTGAGCACCCTAGGGAAGTCACTGAAATGCTCTTGCTTGGATGTAGGGTCCCTGTTGTCACATCGGGGTGTCTTCAGAGGGCAAGTGAACCATTCCGCGCCCTGGCCCCACCGTTGCTTCACCTCCACCCGACTGATCAGTCCATTCTCCAGGCCCAGTGAGAGCCTGGGGATGTGAAGACAGTGGGGCGAGGACCGAATGCCAGCGGGCTATGTGAGGGGTGTCAGAGGCGTTCATAAAGGAGAGGACTTGCCTAGAGGTCCAGTGGTTAACTCCACACTTCCAATGAAGGGGGCGCTGGTCGGGGAACTAAGATCCCACATGCTGCGCAGCGCACCCAAAAAATTAAAACCAAACAAAAAAACATAAAGGAGGAGAGAGAGCAGAGAAGGATTAGAAGTGGCAGGGTTGGGGAATTCTCTGGCGGTCCAGCGGTTAGGACTCTGCGCTTTCACTGCTGACTAATATCCTGTAAGCTGTGTGGCGTGGCCAAAAAAAAAAGAAGATGCAGGGTCGTGGAGACCAAAGGAGGGAGTGCCTACAATGTCCAGCACTGCAAGGAAGTCCCAGATGTGTGCTGAGAAGTGGCCGTCAGATGTACCAGCCCCGAGGGACTGGGCAGTAGCCAGAGGGTGAAGTGGGCTCGCACAGGAATCTGCCATGGGAGGGAAATCTGGGCTGGAAATGAGGATCTGTGGGTTCCAAATGAGCACAGCTGCTTGTTCAGGTAGAGAGGAGGCACGGATGAGGTTTCCCAGGGAGATGACAGAGGAGGACGTGCGATGGTCAGGGCAGAACCCTGGGGGCACAGAGATAAAGATGGGAAAAGAGCTGTGAGAAGGAAGGCTCCTCTGCGAGGGTGCTCTCTGCATCCAGAGTCAGGGGTCCTGGTGAGGCTCCCAGAATCCTGCCGCAGCCCGTGGACAATGCAGGCGGCGTAGTGAGGAGAGCACCGTGAGCTCCTGTGCTGTGTGCGCCGGGGAGAGATTGGGAGGAAAGCGCCAGAGAGGCGGTGTTGCCTGGTCCAAGAGAGAGATGCATCCAGGCAGACCTTTTTGTTTACTCTGTTATTATGAACTTTGTCAAACACATTCAAAGTATAGAGAGTAAAATACTGCACTCCCACGTACTGTCACTCCCTCCCCCAGGTATCAGCACGCGGCCAGTGTGGCTCAATCTGCTCTTCCTCCCGTGCCTCCCCTCCCCGCTGGTTGTCGGGAAAGAAGCCTCAGACATCGTATCATTCCAGCCATAAACATTTCAGTAAATTTCTCTGAAAGATAAGGATGATTTTTTTCAATATTATACCATTACCGCACCTGGAAATTTAACAGTAATTCCTTGAGATCATCAGATATCCAGTCCTCTGCTGACCTTTCAACCCTCAGGGACTCCCAGTGGGTGTTCTTGAAACTGACCCATCAGATTGGTTACTTCTTCCTGGGGAGTGATGCAGGCATGGGTTAAGTAAAGAGCTGTATGAGTTTCTGCGCTCGCTTGGATCCTGGCCCTGCCATGCTTCCATGCCTGCATTTTCTTACCTGGAAAATCTAATTTCATTCAACACATATGTACTGAGCACCTATTCTGTGCCAATGAGTCCCTGCCTTCAAAGACAGACAGTGAGCCAGATGTTTGAATCTTCAAGGAATGAGGGTGAGTCACCCGGTGGTCTGCGACAAGGACGGGCAGTTTGCAGATGGCTGAGGATAATGCCAGGAGTCAAAGGAGCCAGAGGTTCAAGGGAGGTCACAGGGACAGTTGTGTAGATGCAGCAGCAAAGAGTGAGGAAGAGCCTGCCACCTCCAGGCACCATGAGTGTGGGTGTGAGGGAAGAAAGAGTATGTCTGGGGGATGCTGTCCTTGGGGGCAGCCAGGTTTGTGGTCAGCACAGGAAGTTGAAGGGGGTGTTCAGAGAAGAAGCATATAGGGGATCTTGCCCAAGTTTCAGACTGAAAAGATTTGGAAGGTTGGAGGAGGTTGACTGGGTCAGATAAGGACCAGATAAGAGCTGTTAAGTTCTCCACACCGGTGTATAGTGGCTGTGAACGTCCTAGGGTGAGCCTCAGCGCTGACGGATGCAACAGAGCGGTCAGCTGTGTCCAAACTGTGACAAGGCCATTGGCTTCCGTTGTTCCTTTATTCATTCAATCCTGTTTCATTCTTTGAGAGACTCAGTCATCACAGCTTCCTGGTGAGAGTACTGGGGAAAGGAGAGAACCTGAGCCTGGGTGCAGTCTTCCCCAGGAAAGCCCTGGAAGGCAGCGTCTTCCCTGCAATTTTCATATTAACCGAAAGATGAGCCTCTGGCCCCCTGGCTCCCCTGGTCTGAGAGGCAGGATCTCATCAGCTGCCCCCAGGCCTGGAGAGTGGATTGCAGCAGGCCAGAGAATGACTAAGCCACCCCACACGGTTCCCTTTCCAGCAGGGCCCAACCCCAGGCCTGGGCCGGACCTAAGTGACTCACATTGCCTGACCTCAGGGTGCCTAGGACCTAGGGGCCCGGAGAAGCCGCCAGGCAAGGACAGGTGGAAGGAGTGAGAACAAGGTTGGAAAGCCTACATCTCTAAGACTTGCAAGAAGTTAAGAGGCCGGGGGAAAGGGGTTAGAAGGTTATTTTCTCCAGGTCCTGGGAAGGTAGGAAGGTGAGCTGTGGCACCTCTAGGGCAGACCTCCCACAGTCAGAGCATCGGAGGGTGGTGGTCGGAAGAGGGCATGGGAACCTGCGTTCTAGCAGGGCCACATCCCAGCAGCCACCTGGGCTGCCCAGCTGACCACTGCCCCATCTTTCCTTTCAGTCCTGGACGCACAACATTCAGCGAGAGAAAGAGTTTCTGCGGAAGCTGGTGAAAGCGCGTGTCATAACTGACCTAACCAGTGGCATCTGAGGTGGACCCAGCACATGGCCACAGAAGTCCAGCTTCTGCCACCACCACCTGCCCACTTCATTGGCCTCGGTCTGGCTCTGCCTGAGAGATGCGGGAGCCTTCAGACCCAGAGAAGGACAGTGCCAAGTGGCCCCAGGGGTGGTGAGGCCTCGGTGGGGCAGCCAGAGTTGTGTCTGCTCAGAGGCCAGCCTCAGAGACCAGCACTAGGCCTCACTCTCAGCCTCGGTCCTTGAAGCCAGAGGGCCAGGAGGCCACTGGCCATGCCCAGCGGGCCCAGCATGCAGGAGGCGGACATTAGGCAGCAAGGCTGCTGCCAGAATCATTTCTCCAATCAGTGTTCGGTGTATTATCATTTTGTGAATTTGGGGTGGGGGGAGGGTAGGGATAATTTATTTTTCAATAAGGTTGGAGATGTCAAGTTTGGTCTACTGACCATGCAGAAGACCCACTAAAGGGCCCCTCAGGCAGTGGTACCAGTGGGCTCCCCGTAGAGTGGGAGTGCCAGGACTAGCCTGTGCCCTGCTCTGGGGCTACAGGGAGATGGGCAGGATCTCAGGCCAGCCCCTTCCAGCTCATGACACTGTTTGGCCTTTCTTGGGGAGCAGATGGGATAGTCCCACTCAGCAGCCCCCAGCTGTCCCACAGGGAAACCCTGGAGCCATCCTTTAAGCCAACAAGACGCCCCTGGGCTTGAGTGGAGAGAACTTAGGAGCTCGGGCGGTGAGGCCTGGCCCAACCTGATGGGAATGCCCCTCCCTCCCCAACTGCAGCCGACCCATAGGACAGTGCCCCAGGCCTGGAGTGACAACTTGGCAGCTGTTCTGGGTTTCAGCAGTGAGACTGCCAGGTCCTTGGGTTCTGCCTTTAGCCTGGACCAGAGGGAAGTGAGGCTCAAGGACCTCACCCAGGCTGTGGCAGCCATCCTGAGCAGCCATCATGGAAGCAATAAAGCTCTTCCCTGAACCTGGCCTCCTCTTCCTTTCTCTGACTTTCCTGGAAGAAACAGGAACCTGGGGCCTCAGCAAGTATGCTAAACCCAAGGGCCATCTCTCCAGCCCTCCTGGGTCCCTTTCACTTCTCGTGTTAGCTACAGGACCTGGGTAGCCACCTAGGGACCTTCTGGAGCCTCTCCTGTTCTATAGCCGTCCTGCACCCTCTTTGCCTTAAGAGAGGCAGTCCAGGGGCATCAGGACGTGCCCCAGAATCTACCCTGCTGCCTCCTACCGGAGCCAGAGTTCAGGGGATTGACGCACCAGCCCGTGCACAGTGCCACTGGGTCACCACAGCCCCAGCACTGCAGGGACGGAGGTTCCTGCAAGCACAGGAAAGTTGCACGGCCGAGCCCCCAGCACACGGACCTAAACCACTCCCGGCAGCTCCGCTGAGCCCTGGAAAGACACGCCCTCCCCCTTAGCACACAGGCACCCGGTCTCCCCTCAGGACCCCTCTTTCTGCACAGAACAGGAAGGCACAGCCCATCTCTAGGCCCCCTCTGGCAAACATTATTTTATTTATTTATTTTTTTTCATTTCATTTATTTATTTATTTATTTTTGCGGTACGCGGGCCTCTCACTGTTGTGGCCTCTCCCGTTGCGGAGCACAGGCTCCGGACGCGCAGGCTCAGTGGCCATGGCTCACGGGCCCAGCCGCTCTGCGGCACGTGGGATCCTCCCGGACCGGGCCACGAACCCGTGTCCCCTGCATCGGCAGGCGGACTCTAAACCACTGCGCCACCAGGGAAGCCCTATTTTATTATTATTATTTTATTTTTATTTACTTTTGGCTGAGTTGGGTCTTTGTTGCTGTGAGCGGGCTTTTCTCTAGTTGTGGCGAAGGGGGGGCTACTCTTCATTGCGGCATGCGGGCTTCTCATTGTGGTGGCTTCTCTTGTTGCGGAGCACGGGCTCTAGGCGTGTGGGCTCAGTAGTTGTGGCTCACGGGCTTAGTTGCTCTGCTGCATGTGGGATCTTCCCGGACCAGGGCTCGAACCCATGTCCCCTGCATTGGTCTTAACCACTGCGCCACCAGGGAAGCCCCTCTGGCAAACATTAGAAAGGACATCCCAGCCTTACCCCCTAGAGCCCTGGAATCTGCTCTGTCCCTTCCCCAGCATTCCCAGGCGGGCCTGAGAAAGGCCAACGCACTCCTGCCCCTGAGGCCATAGGCCTGGGAGTGAGCTTCCTGCCAGAGCTGCCACGTGGCAACAGGTGGGGCTGACTGGCCCCGTCACCTCTTACCTGACATCCCAATCCAAGTGCCATTCCCTTCTGACTTCCCACATGCCCCTCTACTGCTGCGCTTTGTGCTCAGACAGAAGCCTCCTCAGCCGAGGGGAAAGTGAGGCTCTGACTGAGGGACAGGGAGACCCAGAAACTCCCTTCCATTCTGCTGTAAACAAGGCCACTATGATGCAAACTCCAATGCTTCCTGTGTCCTACCTGAATGGTGCCCCCTGGAGTTGTGCATGCCAGCAAGCAGCAGCCCTGGCTGATAAAGCCCTGGGGCAGAACCCACCCCCGGGGGGGCGGGGGGGCAGCCAGCTTGGGGAGGCAGCAGAACACAGAGCTGCTCACCGCCTGGCCTTCTGTCCCCCAGGGGTCCTGCCAAGCCTGGGAAAGTCTGGCTTCTAGTCCCCACAACTACACATTAACTGCCCTCCCAAAAGCTGTGGTTCTCCACCTGGCCATACACCAGAATCACCTGTGCAGATGTGGAAAACTGCACATGCCCATTCTGATTCAGGTCTGGGGTGAGGCCCAGATTCAGGTAGTTTTAAAAGGTCCACAGGTGGCTCAGATGCACAGCCAGGGTGCAGCTGGTCCACACATGTTCCCTGAGCACTGTCAGCTTCACCCACGGCTCCCAATTGTCAGTTGGTCAACGATTCCCAAATTGCCATCTCCAGCCCAGCTCTCTTCACTTTGCTCCAGGCTACAAACTCAGTCACTTCCTGAACATTTCCACTAGGATAATCCACAGGTCCCTCCAGCCTGGCACGTCCAACACTGAACTGATGAGCTCCTGCGCCCAACCTACCCCTCCTTCAGGAGCCCCAGCTGCCAGAATGCATCCCCTCCTCCTGGTCACCCAGGCCAAAGGCATGCCATCCTACTTCCTCACCCCATCCAATCAGGCACCAAATGAGTTTTCAAAAAGATGTGTTCCTGAAAGAGCGCACAAGGCCCCGCACTCTCCCCACAATTCAGCTTCAGAATCCTCTCCCCCCCAGCAGCCTCCTGACTGCTGGGTGCTCCAAACCACCCTCCCCACCACAGCCAGAGCCAGCCACTGACATGCACGTTGGATCACACCATTCTCCTGCCTGAAACCCTTCAGTGGTCCCCAGTATCACTGGGATGAAGTCCAGACTCCTTATTAGGACACACAGGATCTGGCCTTTCCTTACCTCTATCCATGTTACCCATCCAACCTCCATCCCACCCACCAGCCGAACTGCCATAATTAGGCATCTGAAATACTAGCCTCCAGCTCCCACCTCAAGCCTCAGTGCAAAAGTTCCTCCGCCAGAACCCTCCCCTTCTTCAGCCCCTGGCACCCACTCCTACCAGCGCCGCTGTGCCAAGCTGAGCAGCGGTGTTTGCAGGTGTGTCTGTACTCCAAGCCCCAGGCGGCAGCGGAGAGAAGCGGCAGCGGAGGGGAGCGGCTGCGCCGCAGGAGCCGGGTCAGACCGTGAAAGCCCCAGCGCAGTCAGTGCCTCTCGGACTCAAAGAATGCAGTGGGCCTGTTGGGAGACGAAACTAGCAGTGGATCAGAGAGAGCATCTAGTGCAGAGCAGCCAGCCAGGACGGCGGGAACCCGAAGGCCAGTGGGCCAAGGCAGGGACCGGCCTGTCCCCTCCCTCTCCCGCCCTCTGCCCGGCCTCCCAACTCCCTACTCCCAGGGTCTACAAACTCCGAACACTCAGTGTCCATGCCGCTGCGCCGCCTGGGTTCTCCACTCTGTCCTGGGGGGCCCTTCCCAGCATCTCCAACCCACCCCACCTCGAGGGACCTAGTGGAGCCAGGGCGACCAGATTCCAGAGGGTGGAATGGCCAGGTGAGCCCTGAAAGGTGGGGCGGGGTGGGGGGGGGGTGCTCGGGCCCCACCCCAGGATCCGGTGACGCCGGGGCTGGAATTTGACACCGGACAGCGGCGGGCATGAGGCTGCTGAGGGATGGAGTTGGGCCCGGCCCCCAGACACGGTCCACGGGCTCCACCAGCAGCAGGTCCCTCGGGTCCCAGCCCTCGCTGTGTCCCAGACCAGAGCCCTGCACTTGCGGTAAGCCGACCTGTTTGCCCACCTCTCATCCCAGCCCAGGGGCTAGAGGGAGCGGCCAGGGTCGTCCCCCTCCACTCCTTTCTTACATCCTCCCTCTCCTGGGCCTGCTGCGCAGCTCTCTGCCCCGCCCAGCCCCCCGCCCCC